ATATTTAGTGTTTCAGGTGGGATTCCTGAATAGAATAAGAAATCTTTTTGAAATTTTATTACAATTAATTCAACATTTATTGTATGAACAATTTCAGAGGACTGTCCTTGGCCTTTGTTAAACCATTCTTTAGGGTTTGTGCTGGTATGCAGTCCTTGTCCTTATCTTCTTTATTTAAAAATTTTATTTATTTGTTTGAGAGAGAGAGTCTGAGAGAGGGGAGGGTCAGAGGGAGAAGCAGACTCCGTGCTGAGCAGGGAGCCTGATGCAAGATTGAATCTTAGGATTCCAGGATCATGACTTGAGCCAAAGGCAGTCACTTAACCAACTGAGCCACCCAGGTGCACCTGTTCTTATCTTCAACTTACCTGCGGGTCTACAACGCTTTACCCCAAATATACAGCAGATACTGAAAAACAACATAATCAGGGATTTCTCACTATTTATTTTTGACAGTGCCAAGGACTGTGAAGAGTCGGAGATTTTACCCTACTTGCTAGCTAACAAGTTAGCCTGCCAGTTTCATGGAAGCTGGCAAAAGACAGGGATACTGGGTCAGAGACAAAGGACTTCCTTGTTTACAGCATAGCAAGTGGCATGATCTTCGTATTCAGGTCCCCGCTAGGGCCCGTGGGGGTACAGGGAGGTGGGCTCTGGTGGGTACAGCAGCAGTGAGGTTGTATCATAGCTGCGGAGACTCAACTCAGGAAACCCAAATTTTTATAAGGATGTTGCAAGCAAATCTGCCTCACACTTGCCTCAAAAGAAGAGATTATCTTTATTATACCGCACAGCAAACAAACTGCCCCTTGTCCCCGAAGGGGACACTATCTCAAACAAGGTTCTTGCTGGAGAAATATTCTCGACCAGAACAGAAGCCAGCACCATGCCTGCTGGGGAGGGTTTGCAGCTCCTACGTGTGAAATATCTCAACTCAGAATACTGGTATTCTCTTCCTTATTGGTTGTTGGTCGAAAAAAATGAGATAGAACACAGAAAAGTGCTTAGAACTGTTAAATGCTGAATCAATGCAGGCTATTACTATCTAATACTCCACACACACTCCGATATAAGACCTTGAATACTTGAATTTCCTCCCCATTATAAAACGCAATATATGCATTTTTTTTTTTCCTTTTAGCTTCCATTTTTTAGAACGGTTTCAGGTTCATAGCAAAATCGAGCAGCACGTTCATAAAGTTCCCTTAATAGTCCAGTCCCACACACGCACTTCTTCCCCTAATCTCACCACCCGCATCGGGACCCATCGATGCTTACACCCCAGGAACCTAAAATGACGCACGTTTGTCGCCCGAAGTCCGGTAGTTTGCATGAGGGTATTTGTGGTATGACGCGTTCCGTAGGTTTGGACAACGTATACTGACACGTATCCAGCACTACAGAATCATGCAGAGCAGTTTCACGGCCCTAAACGTCCTCAGGGTCAGCCCATTCGTCCCACCCTCGGTGCTAATCCCTGTGAACCACTGATCTTTTTCTGTCCCCGTAGTACCGCCTTTTCCAGAATGGCAGAGTTGGAATCAAACTACATATATATGTGCTTATTAAAAGAGAATGATAAGAGAATTCTTAAGAAAGCCATCCATAACGTTCCTACCCAGTAATAACTTCAACGTTTTCATTAATTTCTAACCAGTATCATTCTACATATCTTTCGGTCTGCTTTTTTAATTCCTTTTGTCCTTTAGAGAGTTCATTTGTCATAAGTTTAACAACCTCCATAAAACTTCTCTACTACTTAGGCATATTTTATGTATCAGTCAGGAGAGGGTAATTTGTGCTGGATTACAGTAACAAAGGCTTATTTCTTTTTATTTATTTATTTTCTAACGGTCCATGGCAAGAACACATTTATTTGTGAGTGATTTCAGAGAGACATGGCTGACAACATGGGCCGCTGTTTGCTCGCTCGGTATGATCAGGCTGCAATGACAAGGACGGAACCAGGATAAGCAGAGTCAAAATACAGCTTTGATTGTGCTGTGATTTCTTTCCAGTAAAACTGATCCCAATGCAAAACTGTGGGAGTCCTAGTTTTAGCAACTCTCTGATTATTAATCAGCCCTGCACAAAGGCTTATTTCTTGTTCCCACCGTGTGTCGCTGTGTGCTGTCCCGGGGGTTGCTAGATATGGTCACACAGTGGCTCCGGTTGATGGGGACAGCCACAGCACGTCGCGTTGTCTTACTTGAAGAAAAGAAAGCTAGGAAGGGCTCACACTCTGCGCTTGGGATTAAAGCTTCAGAACCTGTCACATGCCTACACCAAATCACCAGGGACGGGGACAGCAATCCCGCCCCGTGCAGAGCTGGGGATGTTTGGTGAGCAGGATTCCTGACTCTGTGGTTTATGCTGTAGCTGGTAAAAATGAGATTCAAGCCAGAGGGTGAGTCACTGTTGCCCTATTTAAATTAAAAAGAAAAGTTAGACGATGCCTGGGTGGCTCAGTTGGTTGAGTGTCTGCCTTTGGTTCAGGTCATGATCCGAGGAGTCCCACATAGGGCTCCTTGCTCGGCAGGGAGCCTGCTTCTCCCTCTGCCTGCCACTCCCCCCACTTGTGCATGCGCACGCTCTCTCTCTCTGACAAATAAATAAAATCTTTAAAAAAAACCCAAAACACTAAAATAAATAAATAAATGTTAAATAATTTTTTTAAAAGATTTTATTTATTTATTTGAGAGAGAGACAGTGAGAGAGAGCATGAGTGAGGATAAGGACAAAGGGAGAAGCAGACTCCCCATGGAGCTGGGAGCCCGATGTGGGACTCGATCCCGGAACTCCGGGATCATGACCTGAGCCAAAGGCAGTCGTCCAACCAACTGAGCCACCCAGGCATCCCATAAATGTTAAATAATTTTTAAAAATATTGCTGGGTTTAATCAAAGCACATCAATGAAGAGCATGAAATTAACACCATCTCTATATTTGTGGTTAAGGTTTTCTGTTTTGCCTATTGCACTAAAAAGTACCAAAGACTGAAGTTCACCTACAGTAATAATGAAAAAATTTTTGATAGTGTTGACACCCAAATCCCTTCCTTTTTCTGATGTTGTTTAAACTGAGCTAAGATAATGCCCACTAGACTCCTCCTTTGCTATGTTAGAAACCTTACAGGAGAGGAGAGTTGAAAGTCTGTGAGCTGAAGAAGCAGGAACAGATTTAGGTGGGAGAGCTGTGTGGGTAACTGTGTGTATCTGCACAGTGTAGAAAACTTGACTAGCAAATCCGAGTGACAACATTCATGCTCTCAGAATCACTTAAAGTTGATTAATCGGTATGTATGCTAGGACCATTTAATGTCCCCTAAGTAGTAGGCAAGTAATAGAACATTTTCTGTAGGGTCAAAGGAAAAAAATCTGGCAGGATGAGGAAGGTGTTGTAATCCTAGCTCTTACCTTTACCCTAAGCTACCTCCCAGCCCTGCATTTCCACAGTGGCACAGCTAGGACAGATGTGAAGGAAACCACCAACTACTGTTTGCATAAAAAGTTAGATCATGATCAGTTTTTCCAAGGTTCCCTTCCCCAAGAACTTTCTCACTTTTACCAAGTTTTAGGGAACAAGTTCTAAGTTCCATTTATGATTGGCTCAGTTTTTTTTTTTTTTGAACTAATTTCACTAGTTACCTAAGTGTCTCCCCTACCAACCTCATAAACACTGATAATCAAAATATCATCATTAAAGAGGTGAGCTTCCTCTCTGCCCACTGTCACCAGGGACAAAAAAAAAAAAAGTATTTCTAGCTTTTCAAAAGAAAAGACAACATGCTTGCAGCATTTAGATAGTATGATATTCAAATCGAGAACTTAAATATGATTTCCAAAGCTAATTCCATTTCTGTCTTTCTATTTCCATTTCCCCATATGGGGAAAATTATTTCCATCGGGAAGAATGTGAGTGGGAGAGAAAATACATTTTAAAAACACAAGTCCCTTGCTTTTGATGTAGGAAAGATGTTAGGTGTGGAGCCAAGGGCCAAGAAAGAATTCTTGAGACATCTTTGGTGTAAAAAGTGGTTTTATTAAAGCACAGGTACAGGTCCCATGGGCAGAAAGAGCTACACTGGGGCCCACTGTATACTTTCAAGTTGGGAGAGGGTTAGGGAGTGTGCAAGTCTCTACGGAATTTGGAAGCAAGTTTTCCAGGACCTTGAGGGATCTAGCTATTGTTAGGGAAAGGTCATTTATTACCGTCTCCTAAAACCCTAGTCATGAGACCCTTTGGATGTATGGTGAGTCATATGCTTGGGGGATGATTGCCAACACGCATCCAAGGGAGTAGAGATAAAGAAAGTTTCCAAAGGAATTTTTATATATTAAAGTAGACTTACAGGATGCTGGGGGTTGGGCTAGGATTGCCATTTGCCCTTAGCAAAGTGTCAACATTGAGGCAGCTAATTTCCTAGAGGAAGGCCACTCGGTCTGTCTCAAGGACTTGTCAGTGGGCTGTAAGTAGTGAGGAAATTTCATAATTTTCCTTCTGCCTTTGTTTCCCACATCAGTTTTTATCAGCTAAACTCCTAATTTGCTGGGGAATGACAGGCCATGAAGACTTTCAATTTAGTTCTTCTGCTGGTACATGGCTGCTGAAAGTATTAGCAGATAACCAATGTACAACACTGGGATTCCATCATACTGCAAGCTTAAATCTGCTTCCTCAGTGATAGGAAGTGATAAGAGCCCCATCATTGTAGGGCAATGAAACTGAATCAGGACTAATCATGATGACTCAACATTATTTTGTTTTTTGGGTCTAAAAACCTTGGACACTCTCATTATTTTAAGTATCCAAATACACATTATTTCCTTTGTCCTTAATACGTCAATGTGGAAATCAATCCCCAAGGTAGCAATGTCTTGAAACGTTGAGCAGAAATCCAAATAGCACTTAAAATGTAAACATATACAAAACACTCACATACATATTCACGTTCAGGGGAGACAAAGCTTAAATGAAAAGATTCCAAGAACCATGTCGGATACAGAAAGGGAAAGTGCTGCTTCAGCACACATTTATTGTTGTGCCTCTTTTACACAAGGAAGGTAGGATGCGTGAGGCATAGAACCCGAGGACAGTGAGTCACCTTTTCAGCCTTTGTTTCTTTCCTCTTTAAATAGAGACGCCGACGGAAAAGATGGATTAGATGCAGTCTACTTTTTCTTCAGTTGGCTGGTTTTTCAGAGAATTATAAACCATGAAACTGAACTGAGTAAACGTGGGAAGTTTACTGCAAGCAGCACCTGGGGCCAAGAGAAGAGAAAGTCACCTGGGTAAACAGAAGACGCACATCTTTACAACCAATACAGACACGGCTCCTTTGCCTGGCCACCGGCTGTCATGGTCCCGAAGTCAGCGGAGCCACAGGGGAGCGTGCAAGGCCAGGAAAGGAGAGAACGGCGGGGAGGAAAGCCATCTCTTCCCACCTCAGAGTACAGGCCGGGTGTCTGCTGGTACACACACATGCTGTCTTTGCTACTACTGCTTTACTCCGGCTTCATATCCTTTTCTTAGTAAAAATAATTTACGCAAGTGCTAAAAATGTTAGTTCCCTAACCACTGAGACATGCCCCTCTTTCAGCCCTAATCTTCCCCTCCTCCTGCTCCCTGTTCTTTTCCATTCTTCTCCCACAGGAACAGCTGTTTTTCAAGATACCTGAGTCTACCCCAGTGCACCTTACTGCCTCCCCATCTATGGCAATGTGGGTCTCTTCCCTGGTCCAAACACCTGCACGGTCCCCTTCTAATGCCACCGCTTTAGATAACCAGTCAATTTTAAGTCCATCTACAATTACATAATTGTCATTTTTACATCTTGTTAAATGCAACTTTGAGCCTTCTGAGGTTTATTTCTTAAGATGGAATCAATCAAACTGACTTATTTTAAACATAAAGCCTCCCCCCCCACCCCGGCCATCACTTTTATTGACTTTGCTATCTCAATACTTAAAAAAGAATAAGGAATTCCTCAAACAAGTTTTTCAAATACAGAACTGTGGGAAGTAAAGATCAAAGGACAATAATAAGCAGTCTAACCTAATAAGTTATTATTAGGTAATAATTTATAATATAAATTATTATTATAATATATACAATTATATAATTATATTATATATTATATATATAATTATATTATATATACATATAATTATATACTTATATATATAATATAATTATATATATAATATATATAATATAATTATATAATTATAATATAAATAATTAGGTAAGCAGGCTCCCCGCTCAGTAAGCCATGTATCTTCCTCATCTGAAAATTCACTAATGAGAAGCGGCAGTGGTTGGTCTTGAAACACTTTGCAACTGTGATAGGCTTGTATGGAAAGTAAATGAAGCAAAAGACATGCCTCAAATGCATCCAAAAATAACTCTGCCGACTTCTTTGGTTTACTAATTAGTAATACAGTTGGTACCTTGGAGCCCCAAGATCTAAAGGAGACATTAATATAATGAATGGAAAAGAAGCAGGGAAGATCATTCGTCCCTATCGACCTCCAATTAATAACAGCATTTGACTAGAGTAGCCCATGTCAGCAGGTCCCGGAGCTGAAGCTGAATTTCATGGTGGACCCATGTCAGAGATAAGAACGATGAGCCCAACACTGGGTCATAAGCATGGAGAGTGAGCCAGACGGGGCGGGGGCGGGGGATTAGGTGTATTTAAGCACTCTGGGGGTTCTGAAAGATCAAGAGTTAACCCTGACCCAGTGCCTACCCTATACAGTCCCTGTTTTTCATTGGATAGGAGCAAGTTACACCACGATATTTTATAGTGTATGTTTTCAACAACATTTACAAGCTCACGCAAATACGAATTCCAAATAAAACTCACCATAACTTCCAGTCACATTGGCACATATCACGGCCCCAAAGAAGTTTGGAAAATACTTCTGAATTCTGGAAATCACTTTCTGGCAGGCTATGGTTGGATCTTCTCCTCTTCTCATATAGTCTACAGCTTGGTAGCTGATTTAAACAGAGGCATAACTTCAGTATCACAGAGTCAACAGAGTCCAAACTTGTGACCTGAAGTTAGAAATCTAAAACCATTGGAACAGTCACATTTGATAAAATACATAAGGAGAAGTCAGTAATTCCCGTGAAAGCGTCAACATGAAGGCGAGTAAACCTTGATACAATGTCTATCTTTTCAACTCGTCTACCCCTTCTTTTTAAATGCCCGTTCTTTTTGGCTCTGGCTGGTAACTGGTACTTAGTCATAGCAGCCAGAAGTCCTAAAGGACAGAGATTACGTTTAAATAAGAAATGGGGCTACAATTAATGGGGGAAATGGTGGGCATGTGCACAACAACATCCAGTTGTAATGGTCGTCTTTCAGTAATTAATTGTACACAGTGACTGCCTTCCGTACTTTTATCAATTACCACAGTTCTTTTTTTTTTTTTTTTTAAGATTTTATTTATTTATTTGACAGAGATCACAAGTTGGCAGAGAGGCAGGCAGAGGTGGGGGGTAAGCAGGCTCCCCGCTGAGCAGAGAGCCCGATGCGGGGCTCGATCCCAGGACCCTGAGATCATGACCTGAGCGGAAGGCAGAGGCTTTAACCCACTGAGCCACCCAGGTGTCCCTTACCACAGTTCTTTTACTCGGTGGCCTTACATAAATGATTTGAATGCATCGTAAGTATTTTCATCTGTGAAGTAAAGCAAGAAATATGCTATTTCAGAGGACAAGGCTGACTTAAATTATCGCCATCGAAAATAAGAGGTGAGGGGTATGGAAGCAGAATTTCTAGAAAGCTCCTGTGCACACAAACCCAGACAGCCTAACACAAACAGTTATTTTCTGTCTTGACAGACACCATCTCTGGTCAAGATCTGGAAGGCCCGAAAAGGGAGAAGTCACACCTGGGAAGAAAGCGCATCAGAATGTCGCCGTCGCCTGTGGCTGCAGCCGCCCCCGCGCTGTCCTCCGCGTAGGCACCCGCTCCGGGGACCGGCGAATCTCCTACTCGACTTTGTGAGGGCGCAGCACAAAAATTTAGGACAGGAAAAGCAAGGGTGAATGCCCCCGTACTTTACGAGAGGTTTCAACAATAGGGGGTGTTTCTACTTTGCCGCTGATGATTGTTCTAAGTTAATTCTTCGTCAGGACACAGGGAGCAAAGATTCTCATTAGTTTGTCAACAAAGGTTGCCACAAACCCCAGTTAATGATGGAAGAATCAGATGCCAGCTCGTTAGATATCAAGATGGCACAGATTCTTACAATTATTACCTTAATAATCTTACAATTATTGAAAAATTCTTACTCAATTATTACCATCCTTTACCATCGAATTTCTGGACTATCTCAATAGGTTACCACTGGTTTCCCTCAGCTACAATCTATTCCTGCTTTCTCTCTCATGTGCCAGTATTTTACCAAGGTTCTTCCTTGGAATAAACCTTGGATGTTTTTCTACTACTTCAAAATAAAATCCAGAAATCCTTAAACTGACTAAGGACCTCCTGCAAGGTGCCAAAGCTGCCTCTGCCCACCCCCGCCCAAGCACCTGACGTCCATGCAATTTCTCTTCTTCTGGTGGGAGCCCTGCACCGAGTAGGCGCTACCCCAGGTCTGTGCGTGCCTGAGCCCAGGTGCTCGCTTCTCTTCCCCAGGCTCGGGCTTGGGCCCCAGCCTCTCTCTGCTGGCCTCCCCCCAGCCGACTGCCAGCTGACTCAGACAACCCCTGCCATCCCTGAGCTCCATGGCAGGGGCTACAACGCCCAGGCCTTTGGCCTGTAGCAGCTACTCCTTTGCTTGCCTCCACATTTCTTTGTCCCGGCGGTACGGGTGGGGTTGAACTCTACGTTTTGCATCTCTCCTGAGCACCCTGCATGTGCCGCTTTATACTCAATGTGTATTTGTAAGACCTCTTCTTTTGGAAACACTAACCCAGGTATTTTGAATTTTATACCGTTTGTAGATGTACCAGCAGCAGTACGCCCCATCTTATGGACTACGACCATGCCTAGAAGGTTAAAAAAAAAAAAATTACTGTAGCTGTCAGCTCTGAGGTTTGCCTCAAATCTAAACAAATACTTGAGCAGCTGGTAATATAAATATCCTCATTCAATAATTTAGGTAGAAGAAAATCAGACGCTCAGGAATGCTGAAAATTATACCCCTTGCTTAATTTGTACTGCTTCAGAACCCACTGTCATAGCATCATCTGGCAGACTTTCCAGATCCTTACTCTTCAAATTGCTCAGTTACCTTTCCAAGGTAATTCCAGAGCAAGTCTTTGACACAGAATAATGGAAATTTTCAACATGACAGCTTGAATGTGGCAAACATAAAGTTATTAAAGAACTACATCTCAAACAGGGGTGCCTGACTTGCCCAGTCGGAAGAGCACGTGACTCTTGATCCGAACGTCAAAAGTCCGAGCCCTAGGTTGGTGTAGAGATTACTTAAATAAATGAATAATAAAAACCCCTACATATCAAATAAAGATTTAAAAATCTATGAGTGGTTAAACATTAGATTTTAGGGGCCTTGTGTAATTTACCTAAATGTATACAGATGCAATGGAAAGAAAAGTGTGTGTGTGTGTGTGTGTGTGTATGTGTGTGTGTGTACACATAGCACATATGTATAGCCATGTATGGCCTTACTTGGCAGCCAAAACAGTTAAATTCACCTTCTGGCACATAAATAAGGATTAAGAACTTAAGAACTACAGATAGACAATTAAAAATGGCTGAACTTTAACCATAAAAATTATATAAAAGACAAATTACCAATTGTATCATGACCGTAATTATCTCCTGTTTCTTTACAGGTAGGACCTTCTTGCTTTAAGATACTAGGTGGCTTGTAAGGCCCACAGTATTTTGAAGGATCTGGTACAACATTCTGCGAACGAGATTTAAGTTTTAGTTTTTAGAAAGGTTCATTTTAGCAACTGGCAAGTAGTCACATACAATGATGAAACATTAGTAAGAAATCCAAATGACGTCTGGTAACTGAAAGGTATGAATTAAAAACAAAAGATCAGCTAAGTCTTATGTGAACAGATGGATATAATTTTATTTAATACCTAGTCTAGTCTCAGAATTATATAATACAGAATAGACATCTATATTGTCTGGAAAAGATCCCCAATTTTTCTCTTTATATGGCTAAAGTTCTCCACATGATGGCAGATATAAATGAAGATTTTTGTATTAGATCTTAATCCTCAAAGGAATTAGGTACACAGCCTGACCTTTAAATTTCAGGATTTGTTCTCTGGCCAAAGAAGAATTCTGAGATTTAAAGCAAAATCTATTTTAAAACCCTCTTTATTTCAAAGCTAGGTTCATATGAACATATTCTAAGTTGTACTCAGATTCCTCTATGGATTTAAAGATACAAGAAAATGATTCAAATTCATAAATTTAGGTTGTACATATGGATTAGTATTTAATCAGGAACCTGCTACTCAGGTCTTACTCATTAGTGCACTTGCTGCCTCCCCTGACCCAGTTTTATACACTAGCCTCCTTCAAATGCTAACCCCAGAGACTCGCTGGTTACTCAAAGGTAATTAGGATTTGGGAGAAGACACAGATGAGAGACTAAGGTAGTGCGCAGAAGGGTTCTGGACTGCAAAGACAAACAGATTTATGCTAAAAGTCCCATTGATTTAAAGACAAATGATCCCACCACTAACACACTAGTCACCTAATAGTATAGATCTAGGCAATAAGGCCAAGATACTGGGCATACTTCATACACATAAAATTTAAGAAATATTTTAGACAAATGGTTTCTAAACTCTGATTTTTTTTTTTTTTAAGACTTGGAACCTTTTGTTGCAAGGAAATACAAACAGAGCCCTTCTGACCGAGGCCACCCCCTCTTTCCCACAGCAGAGCGGTCCCAGTCTGAGAACTGTTGCCAGGATCCAGGAGTTCCTCCACAGATGTATTTAGCACAAGCTAAAGAACGTTCTGGAACATCCACGCCCAGGGAGTCGACTTAAATCGTTGGTTCTCAAGTGCAACCAGGGTAACGACCAGCACTTTATGAACAGGTAGCCAACAGAGAGCAGACGGGATGTCGGTCATATTGTCTGGCAATTTACTTTTAACAAATTGGGTCTACATACCCTCCAGTGGTTTGGCTGGCAATTTCGAGCAAGCCAGTCTGAGTGAAGGGCTCGAGAAGTAGTGGTAGATAAGTCCTCATTGACAAACCCCATACTTTCAGCAAACTTGGTGGCTAGAGATTAGGAAGAAAAGAAGAAGGTAAATTAGTTAAGCACTACCTTCTAAATAAAATACTTGTCCAGGAAGCATTCTTGGTTAGCGGTCTCTCAAACAGATGCACACAATGACTGAGAAGAACATTCAGACACAAGTAGTTTTAAGGACATCGGTTTCTAGATCTCAACATGCCACAGGTCCCATCTCTTCTCCTGGAGACCCCTGGGGTGTATATTATAACAGTTCTTGGTTGTCTTTTCCACCCCCCCTTCACGATCTCCTTTTTTGCACACCCGTCTCACCCAGCAAGAATCTTACCGTTCTAACTAGGGCGCAGTGCCTGGCGCTTAGACACCAACCAAAGGGCCAGCTGGACTCCACGCGTGAGTGACAGATCCTCTAGCTGGTCAGGTAGTTTTTAATTCCGTCCTTTGGCAAAAGTGAAGGACGCCTAGCTGTGGAGTTAGCTAATTCATCCTTTAAAAGTAGTTTTGTTTATAGATCACTGCACGATCTTTGGTGTACAACTTGGGAGACATTCAAGCAAGAGAGCTGCCACAGCATAACTGCTCTGGTGCCCGTCTTTGGCTGGGACGAATGCTCCGTGGTCTCACACGATACAGTGAATTCAGGGAGAGAAATGGTGCAGCTCTCGCCTCCGCCCAGCCATTACCTATCTACAGATAATGAACTAGGTTTTTCAAATCCCATTTTAAAGATGAAGGAAGTGTGAATTTAGAAGTAACTTACCTGAGGGTAAATGGATACTACATAAAACAGATGGAATTTGAACTTGGGTCGGCTTTGATCGATTTTATTTGTTCACAGTGAGGAACAGAAGAGACAGAGGACTAGATAAAGCTTCAGTGTCATAAAAACATACCTGACTCCCCCACTAACAGCGTGTGTGCTGTATGTTCCAGCACTTTCCGAGCCACACCAATCGCGTTTTTAATTCTCCTGAGATCTCCTACCGCTCCTACATTCATAGTCGTGCTGCGAGAAGAAAAGTGCATACAACTGATTAAGGTACTTTCACAGGTTCAAAGATGAAACAATACTGGTTTACTGGGAGCAAGAGTTTTGTAGGATAAACGCCACCATCTTAACGTTACCAGGCTAGCACATGCATGAAGTTGATACAGATTCCCAAAAGCAGACAGATTAAGGAACAGACCACAAGTCCAACTACCACGTACTACAACAGCACTGCCATTCTGTTTCTCCTGATTCCTTTTTTTTTTTTTTAAGATTTTATTTATTTGCAGAGATAGAGGCAGGCAGAGAGGGAGGGGGAAGCAGGCTCCCTGCTAAGCAGAGAGCCCAGTGCAGGGCTTGATCCCAGGACCCTGAGATCATGACCTTTGCCGAAGGCAGAGGCTCTAACCGACTGAGCCACCCAGGCGGCCCACTCCTGACTCAATTTAAATGCAGCTTCCGAAAGGGGTTTTAAGGCTTTGGGTCATTCGTAGCTTGGGATTCTGTATGTTCTAAGACTACCTACTTCCATGTGATATTTCTATTATGATGATGAGGGGGAAACTCCTTGTGTCTGGACTGGCCAGATACAATAAGCTAGGGGTTTTGACTTGACAAAGCTTACGCAGGCCTCTGTCTTGCTCTCAGTAGGTTCATCGATGTTCTTACCCGTCCATGATCATGGCGTCCAGTGTGGTTTCTCCGAGCTCATCGGGACTCCCTCCAAAGCCCACGGTGCCGTCACACTGCTCGCGCTCACACACGGCGCAGCCCTGCTCAACCGCATCCAGGGCAGAGCCTCCAGAGGTTAACGTCCTCCATGCTGTAATCAAACCCCAGGAGTGCTGGCTTACATACTGATTTTTCTTCTCGGTGCCAAATGCAACAAACCAGAAACGTTTTGAGAGCTCATATTAAAAAAATCACATTTATACTAAGTTAAACAGAATTCTAGTTTAGTAAACGCTACAAAGGAGGTAGACAAAATTATATAATGCAGTTATTTACAGTGAAGAATTTAAAGCCTGGTTACTGATAGACTGTGAATGTTGGTGTTTTTTACTTGGTAATATTTCTATGCTGTGTAAGGAATGTCTTCTCTCCTTCAGTTTTATAAGTGAAGCCACTAAAAGGCAGCTAAATAGAAAATTCATTAAATCATAGTCTTATAAATTTCTTCTGCATCATTAGATTATTAAAAATATATACAGCTAGTACTTTTATTGAGGTAACAGCAGTCACAGCAAGTCTCAATAACCATACCCTAACAGCAGATAATGACAACGTGGGCTTCACATGGCTTCTTGGTCCACTAATGTGCACAACAGCTTTTCAGGTAAGTACTGTACAATTACTATCCTCATTTTAAATAGGAGGAAGCAGACCCGAGAGGTTAAGTAACAGGTTCAAGGTCACACGACTGGTAGGTAGCAGAGCCGGGATTTAAAAGCCATTCTGGCTCCAGTGGCCATGATTTTAGCAGTATTTTTTTCTGTGAAGTCCCATACATTGAGAAGGAAATGTACATACATGAGAAGGAAAAAAAAAAAAAGATCTTTGATGGTCAAGGTCTTCATTAATAAAAATAGAATTCTTTGAAGGGAAGGAGATATTACTGGTCATTTTAAGTTTTACTACTGGGCCTACAGGCTTTAAAGTATATTTCAAGAAGTTCCCCTTTCACTACAGGCGACCTTTATATGTCCCCTGCCTTGGCTGCTGGACTTCCTGTTCCGTCTCCTCACCGCAGCAGTTTGCCTTGTTTTTTCACTTTATCTGAATCCTATGTGCCGCCTAGAACTGACACTTAGCTCCACCGAATTCCCGAGTCAATTCTGCCCCAATAAGTTGTATTAGCAACGGGGGAGGAGTCTGAAATTACTCTTGGGGTAGTAGGTCTTGGAATGAATGAAACAAAGCCTCAATACATAAATAACTGATAAGATCATGGTATGTACGGGATTGAATCAAAGCATATAAGATAGGCACCTAACTCCGACGGGACATAAGGGCAGTAAATCAAGGAAGGCTTCCTGAAAGAGGTGATAGCTAAGTGGTTCTCGATCTTGGCTGCAAATCAAAATCACTTAGGAAGCCTTAACAAACCCAAACAACGCAGAGGTCCTGTTTCCAGCAGTTAAATGAACATCTCAGGAGGTAGGGCTCAGGCACGGGTATTTAAACTAGCTTCACAGATGATTTTAACGGCCAACCAAGACTGAAACACTGTTACTTCCCGGTGGCAACTACATCATGCCAGCATGTACCAACAACAAAAAGTAAATGTAAAAAGAGTATGTGCGCTTTGGAAAATTAACAGCCGTTTGCAAAGCTGCAGCTGAGTTCAGGATACTGGGGAGAGCTGAAGGGTCTGACAGGCGGAAAGGTGACAAGAGACAGGCCCCGGGAGAGAATGGATGTCAGGTACACAGCGGAGGCGCCCCAGAGGAGGCCCTAGCAGCTGTAGGCCAGCAACAGGGTGGAAAACAAGCATGCGCGGGGCCGAACGGAGGGCGGATCGTGACGTGACGAGGACCTGGAAAGCAGCAGCGGCAGGCAGGGCTCGGCGTCCACTGCGAGAGCCGCCCGGGTGCAGGAGGCGCGGGAGGGCCCGGGAGCGGAGGCTGCGGGGGCGCTGGCCCAGGCCCGCGCGCATGCCCGCCGTGGGGGGGAGGTGTCAGCCGGCCGGTCGCCCCCCAGCCAGCCCTCGCAGCGCAGTCCCCGCCCCGGGCGCCGCCCCGCACCTGCTTCGGTTGCATTCTTAAAAGGCCAAGTGTTGAGCACCAGGGGCAGAGGGCTGGAGCTGTGCGCGAGCCCCGCGCCGAGCAGGAGCGGCACCAAGAGCAGGACAGCGCTCCACCGCCGCGCCATGGCCGCGCGCCCGGCGGAGAAGGGGCGGAGCCGCCGGCTGCCCGCGGAGCGCGTGATCCCGGCGCCCCGCCCAGCCCGCGGCCCCGGCGACTCCCCGGGGGCGCGGCCCGGCTCCCTCTATTCTCGCGAGACCTGGCCGCCTTGGGCCGCGGGAGCTGCGGGAGCTTGGGCTCGGGGTTCCCGGGCTCTTGAGGTCCTACAGATTTCTTCTTCCTCTTTTTTTTTTTTTTTTTTTTTTTTTTAAATAGCCGAGTTATTGCTTTCCCCCGTTGTGAAAGGCAGACTGAGCCTGGAATGAATTTATGCAGCCCCGGGTTGCGTTAGGACGATTTTTGTTCGGTTTCCGCTCACTGTCCTTTAAATAAAGAGTTGAAGTAAAAGTTCCAAGTTGGAAACGCAGCGGGGGATCCCTGCCGCAGCTCGGGCAGTTCCGGAGCGCCGGGAGGCTCGCTTGCTCCCAGCCGCGGCGCTCGCAGGCCGCGCTCTGCTTGCAGATCCCGGAGCTGAGACGGCGGAGACGCGGGCTCCGCGGGGTCCCCGAAGGGCCCCGCATCCTCCCGCGGCGCCAGGGCGAGGTCGGTTCCTTCTGGAACGTCCTTCACCTGGTCCCCGACATCTTTCAGGGCTAAACCCATGTTTGAATCAAGGTGGGATGGAGACGTCGCGTTAGGAAAGCACACACTGACAAATATCAAAGATCTTGAAAACGGTTTTTAAGTAAATACACTAAGCAATATAGTGTGGGAAACTTCCTTTGTAAACGTTTACTTACATCTTTGTAACTAATGGGGAGGTTGGGGGATGATAAAAAGAACAGGTGGCCTGTGAATTGTTTCCAGAGCCGCCTTTCATGTAAAGACTTGATGTGGGTAACGCCTACAGCTGTATTTAATTCCTCAAAGAATTCGGTTCCATCCTGGTGGTGTTCCCTGGCTGACCCGCCCTTTCAGCTCTATGAGCTTCAATTTGCATCTCTGTATCAGGGCGACTATTTTTGACTGAGATGGAAATAAGAATATTCCGGTGTTCTAGCTTTAGGGCTGTGTGTATCTTTGCAAAGTTTTAGGAAATCCTTTTTACAAAGGCTTCAGCATGCTTTCCTTTCCCTCTGGGTACAGAGCTTCATTTTAGCCACTGGGAGAAGGCAGAAAAACTTCCGGTCAAGTTCTTTTTTTTTTTTTTTTTTTTTAAGATTTTGTTTATTTATTTGGCAGACAGAGTCACAAGTGGGCAGAGAAGCAGGCAGAGAAAGAGGAGGAAGCAGGCTCCCTGCTGAGCAGAGAGCCCAATGCAGGGCTCCATCCCAGGACCCTGAGATCATAACCCCAGCCCAAGGCAGAGGCTTTAACCCACTGAGCCACCAGGGAACCCCTTCCTGTCAAGTTCTGATGATCAGTTTTCAATGCTGCCTCCTTCTGACCATAGAGCTACACTAAAAATAATCCTTTTGAATGTCTCAATGGGCCTCAGCTGAGACAAACAGTAAATGCTCCTGACCGTATTGAACAACCCTTACATATAAGGGGCATCCTCAAAAAATGTGCAACGAATATGACCCTGCCAAGATCCAGAGCCACTCTCAAAGATAACCAAAAGAGAGAAAGACGAATTTTCCTGAGAGCTGGCAACCACCAGTAGGGCACACTGAGAGCAACCTGCTTTTCTGCATGGCCATATTTTGGGCCCAAGCCTGACAGGTGCCAAGTCAAGTTCTCAAGACACAAAATGAGACAAACAGGAAGGCAGCAGCTGTACCCAGGAGAGAAAGGATTGACAGCCAGTGGGTACCCAAAAGCAAATCCTTGTGGCACAAATTCAAAGGTCTAATTCTTCAATTCTTTTTTGCCTGCCAATCTGAATTTGGAAAGGAAGGGACAAAGTAGAATTTTACCTCCCTCTCTCACCAGACACCGCAGATGGAGATCTGGGAAAGCTGATTTTGGTAAGAATTCTTGCCATTTGCCAGCTTCTGCCCGTTTCCCTAGGATTCTGTGTGTAGGCTACAGAGGGAGTGGAGTGTCCCAGCTGGTCTCCTCCTGGTCCCCAGAAACTATGGAGGAGGAAAAATTATCTTCCTTCTCCCCTTTATGATAGTGCTTCACTGAGACCCCTTTTATTCTAGGACAGCTCCTTAATAGATAAGGTTGTCTAAAGTAGTTTAAAGTTCTCCATTGTAGCTGCCCCAATTCAAGATTATTTTTGGTAAGCTTACCCTGCTTATTCAGCTATAAAACAAAATTGTGTTCACCCAAAGCCTCACACTGGACCCAATTCAGCCAGACCCAGTCCCACTACAGCCAGTTTAGGAGCTAGCCCAGTTTCCAAGTCAGACCGGTCCAGTTTCCAAGGGGCACCTAGCTTGGTTTCGAAGTCAGACCCGGTCCGGTTTCTAGGTCGGACCTGGCCCGGAAGAAGGAACTCTCAGATGAAGTCTGAAAGCTCCTAATGCAAAAGCTGCGGATCCATCAGGAGCCTCCCAGCGTGTCCAGAGGCAGCAGGAAAACGGCGGAGCTCTCGGGACTCACAGGTACCTTCATGTGGTTGCTTGTTCCTCCTTCCATTCTTCTCTTCTGACCCCAGAACTGTTACAAGATAAAGTGAGGCATATTGAAAAATTTGAGTTCGTTTGACAAAAATTGATTCAAATTGGGCAGCATCCAATCTAGCAGATGGAAGGGAGCTTGGACGAGCTGCACAGATTCAGACTTCTATAGGGAGAATGGGGTGGGGACAAGGAAAGTTAGAGCAGGCAAAAAAGTAGGTTAATTACTCCAAGGTTATTTTCCTTTCTGGGGACATCGGGGGACCACCAGGTAGATTACCTGACTGGCACTGATCAGGAGATTCCTGGTTGAGTGGGTTAAGGTTCTGTTTCTGGGAAGAGCCAAGACTATAATTAACTCTTGGTTTGGTGATAGAAGCTATAGCATAAGCAACTTCATTTTTAGACCTGGTACCTTGTTTTTAGCAACACACATGGTAGAGATCACTCATTTTGACAGTGTGGTTGTCTAAGCACACGGGCCGGCGTGAACCAGGAATCCCTTTGGAGCTCTGGAATACCTGACTTTTGCCAAAGGAAGCCACATCATCAAGTAATTCTGACAAGCATTTACAGATTTACCCAGACTTTTAAAGCATTAACTTGGTGGGGGTTGCGAGGTTTTTCAAAATCTTCAAGGGTTCATTGCTATGAAATCAAATACACAATTTAAACAGCTTAAGATGGTCTGGAAGAAGTATCCCAAGGCAGGAAAGTGCAATTGAAGAGAAGTGTTATACATTCCCACTATGGGATTTTGGAGGAGGAACAAGTCATCTCTGCTGGTATAATCAGGATAAGCTAATGCCATGTGAAATTTAAAGGAGGGAGTGAAATAGGATAAGAAAGCAAGGGAAACATACATGTGCTTTAAATTAATTTTCATTAGCACCTGAACTGAGCCTTAGTATTTTTGCTGTATGAGGAACCAGGACATGGCTTCAGCGAAAAATTGTGTAATACAATGCATGAAGGTTTGGTCTCAGTGCCCACTGCTCCCTGTAGGTCCTGCCTTGTAATGAAGTCATTTGTGTTTCTTCTGACCAAAAGAGCCTGAACTTTGTTACCTCTACTAAGCCTACTCTTTTTCTAATAGTACTCTCTCCCCACTTGAACTCAAAATTCCTAATAGAGAAATGCAACTCATCTGTTGGTTCAAGGAAAACGGCTAAATTATTCTGAAGTGGGAATGTCTGGGAAAGAGTCTCAATAGGTCCGCTTCCCCAAGGGTATTTATAATTAGGATAATTAATATGCCACCACCAAGGAATCTGACTTAGTGGGAGGCTTTTTAGCATCCGTTAAAATACCCAGTGGGTCTGCTCTCCAGTTAACCTAAACTTAGAGTCATGTCGGGAGCTCTGTCTTAAAGATGTTGTCATACCCTGGGTATTTGGATTCCTAACGGATTGATTTTTCGTTGACTAACATTTGGAGAATAGTTTTGAGTTTAGTCTCAGAAGTACCATGTTACTCTTAAGTTTTCATATAACTCGATCCTTATGCTTTGTTTTGAGGTAAATCTAAGTGAAAGGAGATATCAACGAATTAATTAGGTAGCAGACCTTTAAAAAATAATGGCCCAGGGTTTTCCTAGCGTCCTCTCAAATTTTTCATTCTTTTAAATTATTTATTATACATACCAGTAGAAATATGTAGCTTTACTGATAGAAGAATTAGTTATTTGTTATTTTTATTTAAGTTTAGACCCCGTTACATAATTTTCTTTGGTAAGATGTTTATGTTGCTAAGTAGAACTTAAAACTGTCAGTAAGATAGAATAGACTCTCAGGGAGATTCTAAAGACATAGATTTTTAAAACGTGGGCCAACAACCCATCAGCCTTGGTATACTCATTTACTCTTCCTGAGGCTCCCTTTATCTGAAACCCCTAGAAAATTAGAGTGTTCTACTTTGTCTTATAAAGGTTTGCAAATGAGGGTGGGGTTGTGAGAGAAAGGCAGAGTACTTTGCAGATTGAATAAAATTCTTTTCTTTAATTGGCACTTACCCAGCATCCATTCAGTGATGTCAGGGAGGAGGCGGTCCAGAAATGTACAAAGCAGTAAAAAGAAGGCAATCTGTGATTCAGAAATTTCTACAGGAATTATAAAGAGTTGGCCAGATACCTATAATGCATTTTAAAGGAAGTACTTAGCATTTCCTTGACTGTCTTAAATGGTAATTAAAAGTCAGGTTTTCCTTCCACTTGGAGCTGTCTAAAATTTGGTTTAAGTGTTTATAAAAATGGTCCATCGCTGGGTTGTGAGATTTCCGAATGTCTTGAAAACATCATTGTCCAGTCTTACCAAGGAGACAGCCTCAAATGGAACGTTAAGCGATGTTACAAATGGAGTCTTCCTGTGTGGGGTGTGCAGGTGGGTACAAGAAGCTGCAGGCTCCCCTCCATTTCCTCTAAACTTCATGGCTTTCAATTTATCAGTCTCAGAGGGATGAAGAGTTGAGTCTCTCCTGATAGCATTTGAAGCTGTGGTTCCACAGAGGATTTAACGCCATAGTTGCGGGGAGTCTAGGTATTTCAAATCTGAGGCTTAAAAAACTAAGCCATCCCCTCCGGCTTTTGCACTGATGCTGTGAAATCCATTTGAGAAACATGCCGTGTTTTGCTACTTGTTCAAAGCTGTAAGCGTGACTTGGCATTGAAATAATAATTTCTTTTTCAGAAACTCCCCACTGGACCTGGGTTATCTAAATACAAGTTATTTATTTGATTGGCATTTGCTCTTGTCAGTTTCGCAAACTGTAAGTAATGAGGGCGGCTAATGTTAGAGCATTCGCGGTACTGTGTTTCTTTTTTTTTTTTTTTTAAAGCATTTTATTTATTTATTTGACAGAGAGAGAGAGAGAGATCACAAGTAGGCAGAAAGGCAGGCAGAGAGAAAGGGGGAAGCAGGCTCCCCGCCAAGCAGAGAGCCCAATGTGGGGCCCGATCCCAGGACTCTGGGATCATGACCTGAGCCGAAGGCAGAGGCTTCACCACTGAGCCACCCAGGAACCCCGAGGTACTGTGTTTCTAAGTTGAATCCATTTTCGCATTAATCTGGGAACACTTGAGCATTACTCCCTGATTGTATGTTCTGGATGAAATTAGAGTATCTTTCATTGTACAGATTAAGGTGTTATTATTCTATAAATGAGGAAAGAAAGTATTCTTCCTTCCTGAAATATTTTTTTTTCCGGTTTATGCCCCCTGAAACCGTTTGTCAAATCCATGGCAGATTCAAGTCCTAAACTTGTTTTTGACTTTTTAACCTTTAAAAGTCATCTTAGTGACTTATGGGCTAAGACTGTATGATGGAATATTGGCCTGTTCAGTGACCTTGTCTCAAAATAATTTATATACAATGTATTTTCAATTTGTAATACTAATCCTGGGCCAGTGCTACAGTAAAGTCATCGTAACAAGGATATAGTAGATCATTTAACATGGTATAATCTGCTTTTTTATGGCAATTGTTTATAATGTTGTGATGTCTTCACGAACATGATCCATTATAATAATAAAGGCCTAGGGCAACAGAAAAAATCACTGGTGTCTTCCGACCACTTTAAACATTGCTTTGACATTGTTAACTAGTGTCACAGATTATTTTAATGAAGAAATTTAACAAAAAAAAGCAAAATTCTAAACAACGATGACTTGCAGAGAGCGCTCACTATTTAAAATAAATCTTATGCTGATCATAACTTAAATGGGAAAAAAAACTCCGGTGCACAGATGGACCCTGTGTATACCCATCCAACCAGTCTGTTACTTCCCAGTGGTTCATATAAAGAGTTGTAAAAAAATATGATCTTATATGTGACCTCGTATTTATTTTTAATTGTTTTAGAAGTATATATTTTCCACAGTCTTTACAGATGACTTGCCTTTTAACAGGTAGGATATATCCATTTGGTGAAAAATCTGGACGTTCTATACATTGTTGTGTAACCTGCTTTTTTATTTAAGGTATCTTTAACCTATTTGCATGTCACTAATAGTCTTTATACCATTTTAAACCTTTATATTGTGAAATATAATATAAATCTAGAACAGCGCATAAAAGATAAATATACAGCTCAAAGAATTTTGCATAAAATGAACACCCATGTAATCACCAGTCATGTCAACAAATATACTACTTTGAGCATCCCAGGAAACCCCTAACTGCTTGTACAGCATCACTTTTAATGGAGGTATAAAATTCATTTATGACCGAACCAAAATTTATTGTTTTCTGCTGCCTTTTAAATAGTAGGTCTTTATATATAAAAATTTTTTTCAGAATTAATCTGTCCAGCCTTACACTGAGTTTATACGATAGACTGTAGCAATTAAAATAGTGTCACGTTGGATCACAGGTGAGGGTGAGGAGTGGGAGTCTGGGACTCCTGCATGGCTCAGGTGGGTGAGCCATTATGTCCGTCTGTTACTAATAGTTGGGTTTCCTAGAATCAGGGCAGATTGAGAGATCTGGCCCGTCTCTGTATTCAGGGCAAATTCAAGGAGTCAGGTGGTTTGAGGGCGTGCTGTCACAGGAGGCCTCACTCCGAGGAAGGGGCTTCGGGCCCTCCCACCATCTTTACCATTTACTCCTGGGCACAGGTAAAATAACTGTGAACTGACTTTCCCATCCCTGCATCTCTAGCCCTGATGGCACTTGCTGGTGTAGGTGCCCCATTTCCTGGAGGGAAAGTAAAGGCAATACTTGGATCAGACATCTTTGAAGTCTGCAATTCATAGGTTGAGGGTTATGATCACTGTGATTCTGAAACTTCCTAGCACCTGTAAGTGCTTGAGGTAGTGAAGAAGAGAAAACTTGGTAGTTTTAGAAAAAAGACATTTCCTTCTTTTTCTTCTTGCGCAAAACAATAAGTGTAAAAACTGCAGGCATTGGTTCAGTAACTCCAAAATGTCATAACTTTTTGGTTGTCTTGTGGTCACAAGACAGCTACTGTTGCTCCAGACACATCCACCTTCAACCCAGGGGGTGGGAGGAAGGGCTGCTGTCCTCCCCAGCCCACCCTTTTTAGCAGGAGGACAGAAGCATTCCCAGATCCTATCCCCAGAAGGCTGCTTCCTTCTCATTGGCCAAAATGAGGTCACTTGGCCTTTTCAGTGAGACTCAACAACACTTTCTTTTTTTTCCCCTCTTTCCTTTCCTTTTTTTGTTTTGAAGTCCAGATGTCACTTCTGGGTCAGCGTAGTACATAATAGGAGTAATACAGAGAGAGAGAGAGAGAGAGAGGTCTGCTACTGAGGCAGCCTGGAGAATTCAGGACCTTTGTAAATTTCTAGAAACTTTTTGAAGGACTTTGGACTTCAGCCGAGTGTAAATATGGAGTTTGAGCCAATCTTATTTAGATCTCAAGGATCAAAGCACCTCATTCAACCTCAGAATTAAGACTATGGTGCTCAGTGGGAGATTGAGAGGAAAAAGGCAGTTCTCCCTCTGGGATAAAAAGATGGTTATTTTTGAGAATAAGAGATTAAAGGAAAATGGGGGGCTTACCGCCTGATAATCTTGATCTTTTCTAGGAGTTGTAGAAATCACCTGCCAAGATTCTAGCAGGTTTGAAATGGAATTGGTGATGAGAAATTGGTGAGGGGTTTTAGAGGAGTCATTATGGGAAGTCTCATATAGACGGCAGTAATTGAACAACCAAGATTGGGGGGCATGAATGGAGATCTGTTTTTAAATCAAAGAGCCTGGTATTGGTGATTCCTAATTATTGCAATCTTGCCTTCCTCCCATATCATTTTAAGGCACCTAAATTATAATGTGGAAAGTGAGAATTATCCCTCTTTAGAGAGGGAGTCTACTTGGTTTGATAGGGAATTTACTGCCCTTGCTGATAATGACAAAGTCCAGACGGAGCCCTGAGCTCTGGGGGAGAAACAGAGAGAGAGAGATTTTGTGTGTGTGTGTGTGTGTGTGTGTGTGTGTGTGTGATGGAGAGTTCACAGTTGGTAAGTGGAAGGGTTTGAAAGACTGGAAATGCTAGTGATGGGCAGAGTGCCCCTTTTAGTGGAAGTCAAGGACTAGAGAGTTGGAAAATAAGGAGGTTGTAATAAATTACAACAGCGCTTTTCACAGAGTGCTGACTACAGCATTCTGGGCTTTAAAGGCAGATTCGCTCCTCAAACTGGAGAGGGGAAGCTTACAGCCTGGGGCATCTTTAGCCTGAGGATCCCCAGCAGGCGTTGCCTTCCTTTTTCTCTCCTGTCTTCCTTACTTCTTCCTCCCTCCCTCTTTCCCTGCTCCCTCCTTGTCTCCCTCCCTGTGTCCCTGTCTCCCTCTCCTGTCTCCCTCCCTTCTTCCTTCCCTGCCCTCTTCTCCCTACCCCCTTTCTACCCCCTCTCCTTCCTCACTTTCTTCTTTTCAAAAATATTTATTGGTTGCTTTTTATGTGTCAGGAATGTTTTTATATGTTTTGGATCCTGGATTGATCCTAACAAACAAATCCCTCTTCTGGTAGGACTTCCCTAAAGTCCTGACCCCATAGACTGGATGCTGAAGGGCAGCGGAAGCCCCCAGAGGAAAACAAGCAGCAGCTTGGGTCTGCCCTAATAGGATGCCGATAGTGAAGGTGACTGGTGAGATTGTAGGTTTTGAAGGAAGAGATGTGCAGACTGGCTGAGGCTTTCCTGTACGGTCTAAGAAGAGGAAAGGACATGGTTCCTTACCAAGCTGTTTTGAGTGATGTAGCCAGACATAACTCAGGATGAGAAATGGGATAAGGAATATGTTTTTTACTTTGGATACTGAGTGACCTTGGCCTTGAGTTCATGACTGGACGGCTCTGACACTTTCTGATTCTAATGAGGGCGGCATCTGTCTTGCTCCGGGTGGTCTCAGGAGGACACTCCCCACGCTGCGGATTCCTCCTGTTGGGGGCAGGAGGCGGGGGTGGTCCATGCACATAGAAGCCTTCTTTGTTGCTGATCCGTTTTGGGAGGCTAAATGGCGGGGAGGGGAGGGCGGCTCACCTGTCGCCCTTTATCCCACGGAGCTGGAAAGGCATGCAGGGGCTCCGTTCTCTGCTCCTGCGTGTTCCTGCCGGGCTGGCTAAGTTGGCCAATTCTAGGTTTCATTCCAGGAAGCCCACTGGACTCTCAAAATAAGGGACAGCCTCTGCCTTAGCCTTTCTTAGTTCTGAAAGTATCCCCAGGCCTCTGCCCCTCCTGGGTTCTACAGTCAGTTGACTCACGAGTCTGGTGAGGAACAGGAGTGCTGTTGATGGGGTCCCCCAGGGAACCAAACAGCGGGGATACACCCCCGTCCTGAGTCTTCGAGCGGTTCACACACAGGTCCTCCCAGGAGGGCCCCGTGCTGCTGGGGAAGGAACTGAAGTTTACAGAAGTTAAATAAGTGAAAGCAGCAGCGAGATAATCTATCCAGGTCTCCTTTCTACTAAACAAGTGTTTGATTTTCTCGTGTCCACGATGACTTTGGATATATATTCAGGAGATGTTTTCTTCGTGTCACTGGGGTGGTGCATACATTCATCAAAGTTTAGGCAGCAGCACAGGGAACCCCGGTCAAATTGTGAAAATAGAAAACTTACCTCTCCGTGTTTTTATTAGTTCAAGCCTCGCACATCATTCATTCGTCCCTCACTTGAAGTCTGTCAGATTTCTCATTCATGTCTGAAATACACTCAAAAACACATTTTCCTTGAGAGTTGCCCTTTCTGCAGGTTTTTGTTTCTTTGTTTTCAGGGGCTGAATTTTGCTGTTAATTTTGTTATGTTTGTCATCCGGTGATATTTGTGACTCAACTAGGGAATGAATAATAAAATCCCCAAACTGTTGAAGAATTTCTACAGCAGCTGCTTTCGACCAAGTACCTTTTAATTCTTCCATCTTGGCAGGACGCGCTATCTATCAATTATCGCGAAATTTTAAAAGTCTCCAGCTTCACAATGAAAACTATGTTATGCTTATTTTTATGTGAAGGGAAATCTAACATGGGGAGTACCCAGGAGAGTCATTATGGGCAGATATGAATGGCTCTGGAATGGTTCCATGTGGCAGTAAACTCTTATCTCCAGCCAAGACCCATCAGCACAAATAGAAGGAATGTGAATTCGCAGCGGAGCCTGTGCATTTACTATTAAGAGCAACTGTGCAATCTAGTTTTCAAGACCCATGCTACCCAAACACATTTTTCTGCATTACATAATGTTATCATTT